CCCCGGGCAGCGCCCGAGGCCAGGGTGCCGAGTGGCCGCCGGTGAACCGCGCGCTCTGAGCGCGCACCGCCGGCCGGGAGGGCGTGCCTCCTTCATGCCCCCCACTGCCCGGAGAGGGGGCCCCGATTGTGCGCCCCATTTTCAGACAAGGCCTCCAGGAACCTAAGCCACCTCCCTGGGGCGCATGACATGAGCGCGCCACGCGCGCTCTGTTCCAAGAGCTTAACCCACACTGCCTCCATCCTAGCAGCATCCCTTCGAGGGAGGCACTCTTGTTCTTATTGACAGATGGGGAAACTGAGGCCCAGAGTCGATTCTGCGCTCACAGGGTTAGGAAGAGGCGAAGCCGGGATCTGAATGCGGGCAGTCTGGCTGCGCGCTCCTATATACCCCAGTGTGCAGCCAGCCCACTAGGCACTGCGGATCTTCTTCAGCCAGCGCCAAGACGGGACCTCTGCATCCACCCTCCACCCCAAGGTCTGTCATTCCTTCCCTCTGCTTAGGACGTAACGTGGGGCTGCCAGCCGAACCTTCCAGGCCCATGGCTCAGAACAAACCGGGTTCCGGACACCCAGGGGCTGCAATCTTATAGGGGAAGCCGCTGGCTTCACTCTCCCCGCACCCTCAGCTTCTACCACGTGGCACCAGACCAGAGCCACGACGTCGCTTTGCAGCTTAAAACTTTCCAGCTGGAAAATGGGCCACCGCGGGGAGATTTACACCACGGAAATTGGCCAATGCTACAAACTGGTCTCCGTCCCCGGAGAGCTGGCTGTCACACAGCAGCAGCACACCAGGGTCTCCCCACTTTCTAGGTGGGATGGCTCAGACCACGGAAGCTGCAGCCCCTGGCTTATCCTGATCATCTAGAAGCTAGGTGTCTGGGGTCAGGGACCATAATTTTGTTGCAAATGCTGCTGGCTGTTCCTGACACTCGTTTCCGTGGTTTCCACGGTTTCCACCAGGGAACCAAACAGGGGGCTGCCGGCTTAACTCTGCAGGCACGGGGCTCGGGGAGAACACGCTGCCCGGGAGCTCTAGGATGGAAAATTCCAAGAGCAAGGAGGGAGTTCTCCGGGAGGTGCCCGCTTCGTGTCCCCGTCTCGTGACGGTGGCTTCTACCTGGCGGCCACCAGCCAGCCCAGTTTTCCAGAGCTGGGTGGCTCCAAGGCGGGGGCCTGCGGGGTCCCCGGGCCGGGCAGGTGCTTACCGTCCTCGTCGGTGCGGACGACCACGGGCGAGCTCTCGGGCCCTGGTCCCACCTCTGTGTGCGCGACAGTGGTGATGCGGTACTCGGTCCACTTGTCCAGCGCCTCCAGCAGGATCTGGGTGGTGGTCGGGGGGATGCCGTTCACCTCCTTGGGTTGCGGGTCCTCCGAGCCCAGCGGTCGGTAGCGGACGCTATAGCTCACCAGGGCCCCGTTGTGCGTGTCCGGCGGTGGCGGGCGCCAACTTACCAAAATGGCCGTGGAGCGCGTGCTGACACATTTAACGTCTTGAGGGGGGGCTGACGGTTCTATGGGAGGGGGACAACGTGGGGACGGGGAGGGGAGGCGGGAGGGGCGGGGGGGGCGGGGAAACAAAAGATGGGAAAGAGAAAATAAAAAAGAAGATGATAACAAACAAAACAGAACCAAACCAAAGAGAGGCGAACCCAAAAGAAGCAGGTGTCAACCAAAGGTGGGATGGGCGGGCGGGCGGGCTGGGGCGGGGAGGGCTGGCCAAGAACCTGCGCTCACTGAGGGGGGCTGCGCCGACCCGGCACACAGTAGGGCTTAGGTAGAGGGCAGCTGCAGTCCCCTGAGAGCACACACCTGTGTGCCAGGCACCGTGCCACGTGGGAGAGCAATAAAAGCCCCCTTTACTGGGGACCTACTATGCGTCAGGCACGGTGCTAAGTGGAGTAGCAATAAAAGCCCCATTTTCTGGGGACCTACTATGTGCCAGGCATGGTGCCCAGGGCTCCACAGAATTAACAATAAATGTACTTATTTATCAAACACCTACTGTGTGCCAGGCACCGTGCAAAGTGGGAGAGCAATAAAAGCCTCATTTACTGGGGACCTACTAGGCGCTGGACGTGGTGCCAAGTGTAACAGCAATAAAAGCCCCCTTTACTGGGGACCTACTATGCGTCAGGCACGGTGCTAAGTGGAGTAGCAATAAAAGCCCCCTTTACTGGGGACCTACCATGTGCCAGGCATAGTGCCCAGGGCTGCACAGAATTAACAGTAAATGTACTTGTTTATCAAACACCTACTATGTGCCAGGCACGGTGCCAAGCGGAATAGCAATAAAAGCCTCATTTATTGGGCACCTACTATGTACTGGGCATGCTGCCAAGAGCTTCATAGAGTAACAGTAAATGTATTTATTTATTGAACACCTATTGTGTGCCAGACATAGCACCAGGAATAGAATGACAGTAAATGTACTTATTTATTGAACACCTACTGTGTGCCAGGCATGGTGCCAAGTGGAATAGCAATAAGTTTCATCTGTTGGGCACCTACTATCTGCCAGGCACTGTGCCAGGTAGAAGAGCTATAAAAGCCCCATTTACTGGGGACCTACTATGCACTGGGCAGTGTCAGGTGGAAAAGCTATAAAAGACCCATTTAATGGGGACCTACTATGTGCCAGGCACTGTGCCAGGTAGAAGAGCTATAAAAGCCCCATTTACTGGGGACCTACTATG